TATTGGTAACGAAGATTTTAAAAGTTGGCATAGTCGTTAAGGATTGGACTCGTAGGCACGAGGTGGTAACATCTGCCATGGTGCAGGCAGCAGTGGAGAAATTAATGGTGTCTAAAGAAGGAGAAGAAATGAGGAGTAGAGCAATGGATTTGAGTGCAGCTCTTAAAATATCAGTAGCAGAAGGTGGTATTAAGAACATGGAGTTGGATTCATTCATTTCTCACATAACAAGGCAAATTTGATCAATCCTAGATCACTTGACTCTCCCCATTTCAACGGTTTTCATTGTGCAACAAGGTCTTACTATCTAAAAGGATTTAATCTATATGATGTAAAGAATTTTTATATTATTACTGTATTTTAAACCTATTTTAGCATGTCATCTGCCTTATTTCCAAAACCACATTAACAACAACAACTATGCCTCAATACCCAAGCTAGTTGTGGTCGAATGTATGAATCTTCATTATCATAAATGCTTCATTGGGTCCATAATATTTCAATACTTTGTACTATTAGATTTATCTAACACTAGGGATTCTCTAACATACTCTAGTGATTATATCTCTAACATACTAAGAGCCCGTTTGGATTAGCGGACAAGGTTGAAGTACTGAAAAGTTTTTTTAAGTGCCGAAATAGATTTTTTAAAATAAGATTTATGTGTTTGGGTAGAAATGCTAAAACTGATAATAAGCAGTTGATTTGTTTGATAAAAAAGTGTTGATTAGCTATGTTAAAATGACTGAAATACCCTAGAATTTTTTTCAAAAGATCATAAATTAAAAATTTTCTTTGTAAAGAAAAGAATTAACAACGAATATGGAATGAAGAGAAAGTCAAGAAATTTATTTTGAGAAAAGTATTTTGTGAATTAGAAAATATTATTAAGGATAAACTAGTAAAAATGATGGCCAAACTAAAAGTGCTTATAAGCTGAAAAGCCATAAGTTGGGGGTGACCAGCTTATAACTTATGATTGATTTTAGCTTATAAGTACTTGGCTTATAAGCACTTTGGATGTTTAACAAACGCGTAGATAAGCGAAAAGGTGCTTATAAGTCGGTTTGACCAACTAATAAGCTTAGCCAAACACCCTCTAAGAGTCTTCAAATGAGCACTTATTTCTAGTTGGGATCACCTATACAGATCTTCAACTTCTTATTTAGTATATCTAATTATCTACTTACATGCAACTATCTTTTATGTGAAAATAAACTCGTCTAAAATCAATGGTCAAGATCTTATAAATTGTGTTCAAACTCAGATAAGTGACATAATGGTTCTACAGCCAAGTATCTGAAATGAGAAGTTGGAAAAAGAAGTTAGAAGAAGTTCCAAATGGAAAAAACAAAAAGGAAGCAACAGAGGAGCAACTTGTAGAACAGTTCTTAGAAAATGTTAGACTATATTATGTGTGAAAATGATTCTTTTTCTTGTCTCAAGCTCCTCTTATCAGATAAATGATCAGATTCATTTTATCTGTCTTAGGACAAGAACATCCTCAACTTGATTCTCCACTTGTCCCATGTTGTCTCCCTCTACAACATCCCATTCTACTAAGTCAGCACAACAACCAGGCTACAGACATCCTGGACTTCCCTAACATCATTTGTCCAACATTGACCACAAAGACTAATCATGATTCTTGATTTTTCTTTTTCTTTAAAAATTCAAGTTATCTGGCTAAATCCCAGTTCTTCTCATAAGTTAAAACTAGGGGAATATGAGCCCGCTCCTTTACCTGCTGACTTAAATACCAAGTTTCGTCAGTTGCAGAGTTTGAACTCGTAACACGCGCTTAACCCACACTTCAAATGTTGCGTCCTTATCACTGAACCAAAGCCCTGGCGATGTCATAATCCAATTTGGTTTCTTATGCACTTTTAGTATCATTTCAACAATTCTAGTTGACTAGTTGCAAGTGACACATCTGCATCAATGCAGATTCCTCATAGGACAAGTCAGACATGTACTATACATATTCTTAGATAAAATTTCAAAATCCAGAAAGTAACGTTAAACATAAATTTGTCCCAATCACCTCTCAATCCAAGATATTAATACTATTCATCAAAGAAAACATCACATAAACAGGGGACTCTGTGCTAATTGTACAAGTATGCAAACTAGCTTGTATGAGGTTTTCCTCAATTGATCATAATTGTTTTGATATAGTATTTAAGAAATCGAATACTAAATTGAAAATTTTCAAAATCATATTGAACTGAAGAGTGATGTTCATTTGTCAGTTGATCATTGCACTCCTCATTTGGGCCAGGCATAAATAAGAGTATTGTAAGTACTAAATTTAAGTATTTTAAGTAACTGAGTACATTTTTTTGTGCAAATGTTGAGTTTTATTATTTGATATTTTTAAGCAAACTATCAAAATACTAATTTAATAGTATGTTGAGTTTTTTGCTTTTTCTCCCGCTTCCCCTTTCCCCTTTTACAACTTATAAAAGAAAAAAGTAATTTTTTTCTCTCTTCTTTTTTTTTATTTGTGGGTTGTTACTGAGTTTTAAGTTGATAAAGAAAACGCTTAGAATCAGTCCTGTTCTTTTTGGTATGCATATTTGGCCAGAATAGAGTTGTGGTTGGTGTTTGCAATGGTCCAGTGTTGATTTACAAACAGGTTTAGCTCTCATTTCAATTTGTTTCTTTGTCCATAACTACGATTATTATGGTTGGATTTCAAAAAGCAAATACTTTTAGATTTTTTTTTTCTTTTACATTTTTAATTTACATGCTCAGTAATTGACTTGCATTGAGATTAATCTTGATAGATATTTTATGCTAGCAGGAAGTTTGTATTGCATCTTTTTTATGGTTTTTTTTGTCGTTTTCTTTATGGTTCTCAAAGTTCAAATTTTGATAGATACTGTTGTACTTGAGGTTCAAATCTCATGTTCCTAAATATATTTTTCAACTGATGTGATTAATGTATAGTTTGATCTTCAACAAATCACTGGAAAGAGCACTTCTTTACTGGTAAGTCGGCTTATGAATTTGAGTGTCATAGCCAATCTTTTTACTTGATTGTAATCTTTCCTAGAGCAAAAAGTGACTCTTTCATTCTTAAAGTATGTGGTTAAAGGTGTTTACTAAAAGAATAAATGAACAACTGATGCTTAAACAACAGCAGTTTCCCTATATTTATTGTAAAGCTGACGAATGTTCCTTGTTTTAACCTTAAATCCAGTCTATAAAGCCAGAGTTGGTTGTACAAGTGGAACCTATGGTCCATCGATTATTGATGAGAATTTTGAGGCAATGTCAGGTTCTTTGTCAATTCTTACCTCCTCTTTATTTTTTTAGATCTCTTTCTCTGGTTTCTTGTTTATGATTTAGTAGCTTAAATCTTTTGGCTATTTTGGTCGGATCCTCCAAAAATGCAGTCGGATGTATGTCGAGTCCTTCAAAAATTATGCACTTTTGGAGGATCCAACATGGGTGCGGCTGCATTTTTTGAGGATCCGAGCAACATAGTCTTTTGGTACACAGAGGCAACAGAACCAATTATCTAACTTCTCTAATACATTTATGTCATGCTTTATACCTTATTATATTCTTAATCTTGAGAAATTACTTCCTTAGTTATATTTTATCACAATACAAGATTTGGCAAAGTAAAGATCTTAGGCTCCAAACAAGTTCTCATTTCTCAAAATCTCTTTCTGGTAATTGAAGGTTAGCTAATTATACTGATTGTATGATAGCTAATCTCAAGTTTCTTCAGGATACTACATTGTTGTTGTTTCCTTAGGTTCTTGTAAAGCTGTAAATGTTCAATAATCCATCTCTATTCATCCTTTCTCTACACCCTTTGAGTTTGTTTTATTTTGTTCTTCTTCTTTTTTTCTTTTTCTTTCATTTCCGAAAGATTAGGGGCAAGGATCGTAAGGATTCTTCATAAATTGGCTACTTTTATGCTAGCTGGACTGAGCCATAGTAGTTGTTGTACTAAAACAAAATCGGCGTAAAATGTATGTACAAGTTTTTATGATAGCATGTATCATCCACCGTTACCTATCAAGTTTAGATATATTGATACTTGGATATATACTAAGAATTTCAAATTCTTCAAATTCTATTAATAATAAATATTATCTAAGTTCTAATTTTTAGTCACCGTGGAAACAGCCTATTGCAGAAATGCAGGGTAAGACTGTGTACAATAGACCCTTATGGTCCGGGCTTTCCCGAACCCCACGCATAGCGGGAGCTTAGTGCACCGGGCTGCCCTTTTCTAATTTTTAGTCACCTATCTATGCAAGTCACCTATCTATGCAAAACCCTATTTTGCTTTGCACAAAAAGATACAAGTGAAAGATTTGATTGTTTCAAAGGTTGTAGGCTACAAAGCTAGTAGGTAGAAATTTATGACTCTAGCAATGAAGTATGCCAATATGTTGACTATGCTAAAGGCCATGGAATAAATAGCTTGCTGCTTCTGTATTCATCATGTGTAACTGTATGCAAAGTCTGTTGTTTCCTCACCTCACTTCATAGTATATCTTCATTAGGTGAAAGGAATTAGTTTCTCCTAATTTCATCAACGAGTATTATTTTTGCTCAAATTTTGTGAAAGGTCGGAAACAGCCTCTCTATCTCTATAAGGCATGTGTAAGGTCTGCGTACACACTACCCTCCCCAAACCCCATTTATGGAATTACACTGAGTTTTTTGTTGTTGTTGTAAATTTTGTGAAAGATCTTCCTTTTCATGTTTGGTTTGACCTATCATGGGTTGGAAGATATGGTAGTATTACAAACCGAAATAGTTCTATTGTAGCATTTGATAAAACTCTGGGAAGGAAAATTTGCAAAATCAGACAAAATGTTAGCCAGGGACAAGGGGTCAAATGTCAAAGAATTGGTCTTTTTAAAACAATGTGCAAATACAGAAGGCAGCATTTAACTTTAATATGATCTGGACTTCTCCAAATCCAATCAAAGTGATGCAAATGAAATAATTCTTTTGATTCCCTTCAGAGCTTTGAGCAAGTTGAATGGCTCTATATATTATTGATAGTAGAGATTTTCTCCCTAAAAATTTACAAGCTAACACAATCATAGTTCCCTTGTAACAGCTGTAAAGTTAATTTCTTAACAGTCCTTAGTCCTACACAAAACATGAATCTGCATACGACAAGGGAAAAAGAAAATGGATCAATTAAAGTTTCATTTGAACCTGACACGCAATGTAAAATCATGGCATAGGACCTTTCGGTGGCTGTTTCTCCCTTGACCAAACTCAGGAATCAAGATTAATCTTGAAGAATCTTCAACAAGGATCTTCAGTATCAACTTTCATAGCTGAGATCGCTAGTTCTTGGACACACCTACGTCACAAAATGAAACCTTAGTTATTTTCAAGTCACTTAAGAATTCTTAGGGTGGTTGTGCTTAGTTCAAACAGAGGGTTAATGAATATAGCTGGAGGTATTAAATATTGCAATGAAGACATATGCAAGTGTACATCAAGATCACGATATCAAGATATGGGAACTTCTCAGTAAATTCTCACGAAGAACACAATCAGCAGAGCGTTCAGTAACTTCTTTTAATTAAAAGATCTATGCTTGTGTAAGAGTAAGCAATAAACAAATATGACAAAAAGTCGAATCTAGAAACGTACGAGGAAAGATGAGATTTGGAACCCTCAATGTCATTCTTTGTGCGCATAACTGATACGAATATTTCTGCCATCCAATAACTGAGAAGCACAATAAACAAAACTGTTAGAGCAAATATAAGAATAGAAGTAGATCTTATGCTATTCTGCACTTACCTGACCGTCCATTTCCTTCAAAGCCTTACTAGCTGCAGTTTCAGAAGAGAACTTTACGAACCCGTATCCTTTGGATTTTCCACTTTTATGATCACATATTACTTTCACTGAAAGTGGATAAGCTTATACCTCCATATAAAAGCAAGTCACAATAACAAAGAGAACTATTGGCATCCGTACATTACCTTCAATTATCTCACCATGTTGCTCAAAAGCCTGTTTGAGAACAGGTTCATTGGTATCATAACAAAGCCCTGAAAGAAATCAGATGTCATAAAAGACAGGTTATTGACTCACACTGACCCATTTTGACCAAAGATTTCATATTAAAATTGATCGAAGAAAATTTCTCCTTGATGTCATTCTGTTTTTAGATATGACAATAAGGTGTTCGTATGCAAATGATCATAAATGTAATAAAAAAAGAATTGGACTTTGGGTTCATTATATACTGTCAAACACTTTAGAATGCACATAGTATCTCAACTCATAAAAGTGAACAACTGCAAGACCGTCATCCGACAGCATAAACTTTGATGGGAAATAACCATGTGCAAACATGCGACAGATAATCCATCATCAGCGCTTAATCTTGGTTATGCTTTTGCTCAATTAGCAATATAAAATGCAATTTTCATCCAAGGAGCACTCTCTGCCATGTCATTGGCTGACCCCTTCCCACCCCCACCCATTTTTCCCCCTTCGAAGTAAATCATGTCTTTCATATTTAGTGACCAGAAAAAGAACCTAACTTTAACACGATTCGGGGTTTTGGTTCAAAGGTAAAGGTAGTACACCATTGGATATATGGTAGGAGCACGCCACAAGTTTGAAAATAGTTGTTTAACCAAGTGAGCTTCGCATAACTACTCCCAAGTCATAATAAAGGATAAAGGTTACAGTCAGTTGTTGTGGCGGAACCAGGAATTTACACATGGGGATTCTATAAAATAGATTGTCACATTTGAGATTTGAACTTGTAGTCTAAAGCAATTTTTGAACCCCTTTACCACTTTACTACTATTTTTCCTTATCTCAAGAGGATTCAACAGTTTACACATAACCAATTTTGTTTTTGCCCTATTACATATGCGTAATAACAGTCATAACTGTCTAAAGAACCTCTAGTTTTAGAGAATCTTTAATTTTGCATCAAAAGACGACGTATTTAACACTATCGGGAAGAAGTAGACCCAAATAGAAGTTGGACGGATATAGAGGACTCATATCGCCGACCCCAACTAGTTTAGCATTGAAGCATAGCTGATTGATATAGAAATATGACACAAAAATGCGAATTTATTGGCAATAATAGTATTCCAGGAAAAGGTAATACATGGCTATCAAGTTAAATTTGAGAAATAAAAAATTAAAACTAGTGAAAATGGTCTACAAAATTGAGCAATATTATCATCCTTAAACTTTTGGATTAATATTACCCCGACGCTAGGAAACAGTCTCGGTTTTGCCCTTGACACCCTAATCAAGCTCCAAAAAAGGGTAATTTTATACCATAGTCAAAAGTTGTTTTAGACTTTTTTCTCTCGCGCAATTTGGACACATTTGAGTTCACACATTTCACGTTGGAGCTCTGTCAAGGGCAAATATGAGAGTATTCGATAACAAGAAGAGTGTGAATGGCCCAAAAATATAACATAAGGCAAAATTGAGCAATTTCTACCAGGGGCGGAGCTAGCCTTGGTTCACACCTTGTATTTGTCTTATAAAATTCATTGAAAATGTACTAATTATTACTCCTAATTTAGATGCCAGTAACTTAAAACGATTAGAACTTCAAACTCATAACTTTCAAATGCTGGCTCCGCCTCTGATTTCTAACAATACCAAATTTGAACCTTTTCCCTTAACACTATAACACTCCTATGGAAACGCAATGTTAATCATGATATAAGCAGAGAAACAGAATCATAGAAAGTCAGTAAAACAATTCAATAATAGATTCTAAACACTGTATCAGTAAAAATGGAAGTAAGAGAGACCTCCAATAAATAATTTGCTGCAAGAGTGGCGTGAAATGATCATTCTAGAAAGTAGGGTTTGATAATTTGTACGCAGCATTTGGAAGCTTGAATTTTTTTGCTTTGCCCCTTCCAATAAGCTGTATTCTTGAGCTGTCCAAGTTTTCTGTTTGCAGCTGATGAAGTGGGCCTTTAAAGAGGTAAACTGGGAATTGCAAAGGGAATGTTTACAGAAGTCGCCGGTCATATTAACTATTTATTTTTCTCATACGGAAATAAAATTAGAAATAGCCTGATTTATAATTGCTTATTAAAAATTAGCTACAGATTCAAAAGTAATTAAAATTTAGTTACTTTTTGAAATGAAAATAAAATCTGAACAAAAACACTCTTAAAAATCCCAAAAAATTCCAGCGTAATATGCTGGAGTTCGAATTTTTTACCTATGAGATTAATATGCTGGAATTTCATAACGTGCTGGAGTTACAACATAATATGCTAGAAGATTATACGGATGAGCTCCATAATCCAGCTGAAACTTTTCTTGTTTTAGCTAGGGTATTTTGACCAGATTTTATCTCCGCATAAAATATTGGCTATTTTTTAATGAATTTGCAAACCATCCGAAAATAGACTAGCCATGTTATTTTTACAATATTATACAGTAATTACACCAAGTATACATATACACTAACTATTTTTTGTTTAAACGATTGAGTAAGCTATTATTTAGGTTAATTCTTCAATTGGGCAAATGAACCTGAAGCCTTTTAGTCCATGTTATGTCATTTGTGGGTCCAGTAATAAAGGAGACAAGAAGCCCAAGAGAGATTGGGCAGGTTAGAAATCATATTGCTGAAAGAAAGAACAAAATAGCACGGTTTAGTCAGTTTTTGGACTGATCATTCAAAAATAGTCAGCGTTTGTCAAGTCGTTGAAAAATAGTCACTATTTTGCTGCAACAGAGACCGGTCCAGCATAATATACTGGAGTTCGGTGCACCTGTGTATGAACTTCCACATATTACGCTGGACCGGTATACTTTGTTGGCTCCAGTATAATATACTGGAGACTAGAGCACCAGTGGTCCAAACTCCAGTATATTATGCTGAACTGGTGTATTATACTGGAACTCCAGTATATTAGACTGGATATACTGGAACTCCAGTATATTATGCTGGAGTATTTTTCCAGATTTTGAACAGTGTTTTCGTTCAGATTTATCTTTACATGAAAAGTGGCTAAATTTCGACTACTTTTGAAACTGTGGCTATTTTTTAATGACCACTTATAAATCTGGCTATTTTTTAATTTCTCCCAGGAAATTGGTCCAAATTTGTCCAATACTATCCGAAATTATTCTATTTTGCCTTCTGTAACACTTTTGATCATTTTTATATTTGTTGCTAGCAAATTATCTCGTATTTATCCTTGACACTAATGGAGCTCCAGTATGAAGATGGATTTCACATATCAAAATTATTCAAGAAAAAGAGTTAAATTTACCCCTCATCGGGATTTTTTTCATTCCTATACACTATTGGAAACTTTATTACCCTAAATGTTCATATTTAGTAAATTACCCTACCTACACAAGTTTTGTCTACATAATATATACATTCCACCTTAAAAGGCTCCCAATCCATTATTATTGCCTTTAATTAAGGAATTTAGTTACACCCTTTACCTTTTTTTTCTCTTCTTCTCTTTCCTTATTTTTCTGATGCACTATACTAATCGTGAAGTGAAATATTATTAAAACATTCGGGGATGCAAAGTTACGAAAAGAAGAGACACAAAACTTATAAAGCTAAGGAGTGACAAATTCCAGGAAGTGATCTGAGTTATTTACGGGGGAAAGGTTAGCCCAATTAAAAAGGTTAACCAAACAACGTATAGTTTTCTAATTTTTCTGATGCAGTCGGTTCGTTGGGTCAAAGAAAACATAGAAGAATGGAGAAAAGGAGATAAAGAAATTATGGAAACAAAGGTCCTTCAGGTGCAGAACAGATACATCATAACCGAGAAAATTACCACCATATGAAGAGGAACTCATGGCACTAGTCCAGCGATCTGTATAACTTGGCTTGTCTGGATGAGAACCAAATGAATTTGAAGGTGAGACATTTTCCGGAAAAGCATGAGAAGTAACCATCACCAATTACAGAATTAGATCTGGATAGAATTAGACGAAGCAGAAATCCAAAACAGATGAATCTGGGTCCATTCATATTGGATGAATTTTGAATAACTAATCGTCTAAATTAAAAGAGACCGAAAAAATCCCAAAGCTTATGTCATAGGCTTGCAAAATTTATCTACAACTTTCATACATTATTTATACCCAGTTATATACAACTACAATATCATATAACTTAAACACAATATTTATACAAATTTTATACAATATGTCTTTTGTGTATTTTGTTCTGATTTATACATAGTAAAAACAGGTTTCATACAACTAATTATATATTATACAACCTATCTACAACTTTCATATTATTTCTACCCAGTTAAGTACAACAACAATAACATATAAATTTATATCAAATTTATACAATATGTCTTTTGTATATTTTATATCTGATTTATACATAGTAAAAATAAATTTTATACAACTAATTATATATTATACAACTTATTGATCACGCCCAACTCTAGTCCTAAAAAGGATAAGCGATCGCTGCAAATATAATCCGGTCTAAAAGTACGGAGTCGAATCCCACAGAGAACTAAGGCTTAGCTATATCTGTTTAATATCACTAAAAAGACAAGTTTGAACAATTTTCTAAATTATAAAGATTGAGATTTATATTTCTAACTTATTAACTAGCAAATACTACAAAACGGTAAAATTATCAACTAACGAGACAAAGGGTTTGGAGACTAAATTAAGGAGGTCTAAAGTTATGATTTCCCCAATTGTCGGAATCCTTCTATCTACAATTTCTCCAATGTATTCTCTACCGATTGTGAGCACTTTGGTTGCCGTAATTCTCTCTCGAGCAACTACCACAATTTACTAGATGTACTCTCTCGAATTACACTAGCTGACACTAATTCACTGCTCACTACAATCGCACCAAGGTTTCGTTATCTCTAATCTTGCCTTTAAACCCTCCATATTGATCTCTCACATACGTTAGGAGTGATGTTGTTCAACAACTACCTAAATATGTATCCTTTCTTAAGAAACACATAATAAATAGGTACAGTCAATCGATGACCATTCAATCAACAACAATAAACACGTAGTTGAACAAGTAGAGAAATCCAACGGCTCAATTATATAAAAACATAACAAGAATTTATCCTACAAAGGTTCTATCAAAACCCCAGATAACAAATTAGCTATTCATAATAGTATGTAAAACTACAATACTAAAGGTCATAACCAACAATGAAAAATAGGAAGAGGAAGGAAAAACTCGTAGAAAAATTCTCCGCCTTGCTCCTATTGTGTCTCTGCCTCCATAGGTCGAATCTGTGTCAAAAATTGATCTCCTCCGCTTCCTTAGGTCTAAATTATGTCAAAAGTGTGTCCAACCTCTTAAAATACCATTTTTTTCATGTATATATACCAAGTAGGGTCGTGCCCAAACTATTATACCTTCTCCTACACGAAAAATGACAATTTTTTCACGTCTGGACAGCCGCGGCCGCGGTCAACCACGGTACGAACGCGGTATTTGGCAAGTATACTGCCTCAGCCCGCCTCAGGTCCGCGGTCGCGGTTTCGACCGCGTTTTGCACCCTGTTTCGTTTGGAATTTGGAAAAATGTAAAACATGAAAGTTGTAGCCCTTTGAGTTAGCTTTCCAACCATATATTGTAAAGCCCAAATAGAGTTCTGAGCAAAAAGTTATGTGTATTTTACTAGACAGTGCGTAATATGCCTACTCGATTCTTCGTTTTATTGCTCTATCATCCGTTGATTCCCGAATACGATCCTGGCTTAATTCCTTAGGCTTTTACTCAGAATTCAAAGCTCCAAATCACTTGAATTCATTCCATAATATCTATATAGCTCGGAATCACTCCTACAAGGCATAAAACACACACTTAGTGCAAAACACTAGCGATTAAAGCGCAAGCTCAACTAATGTGGAGTAAATTAGAGTGTAATAATCGACTAAAATACGTAATTATAGTCTATCATCAACACCCCACACTTAAACCGTTGCTCGTCCTCGAGCAATCAAACTACACCTTATATAGACACGACCTTTTTAAACAATTCTCCTAACTCATCACACCAAGAATATTTAAAATAGACTAAGCACAAAAGCGTAACATCTTCACCTCAAGATTCGACTCACAAGTACCACGCATTATTCACAACTCACCTACTTACTCTAACATAGAGGTCACTGACATTACCTTTCCTTCATGAATCAAGTGCCCTCACACAACATAAGAGAGTAGTTCCACACAATAAAATTTAAGAACACTTAGGAACTCAAGATAGAAAGAAATCACTCACTCTCAGAAATAACATTCATATACCACAAAAGATGCACCATAGGCTTGCCCGTGGTGTACTACTCTACTAATCGAGCTCATTCAGTCTAGGATCAAGTAGGACTTTATTTGGTTGTAATGTAGGCTACGAGACGGGTATGATACATTTAGATATAAGAGTGACTACACCTCCCTAAGCACTTTAATACATATACTTTAACATTCAACCCCATACTTGTGTCAAACCAAACTCCACCTTCACATTAATGTATATTACCCATTCTTCTTAAGCACACTTACATCAAAAGCCACAACTTATCAAGGAATATTTTTTTTCACAACAATCGAACTATTTTTTTTTCCTTTTTTTTCCAATTGAAGTGGCTCTTATTTTTTTCAAAACAGTGCACATTTCTCCTTGTTTCATTAGTTCACTCAAAAGCCAAACCAACCACCCCACACTTTAACTTTTACATAGTTCATAATAATTCAAGTGCTTATGAGAGGTTAAAAGGTTCAAATAGATGATTAATTCAAACAAATGGGTAAGGCTTGTAATGTGGTTGCCAAAGAAACAAGATTACAGGCTCAAAGGGGTTAACTATGATACATAACTATTAGGTGGGTAAAATATACATATCTGGCTCAACAAAGAAACGCCTATATCACTTCCAAGACTGAACAAAACTACTATTTCGCTTTGCAAACACACAAGGCAAGTTCTAGGCATCAAATGCAATGCACAGAATATAACAAATCCTTACACACGCATGGCACATAACTC